ACGTCGGACAAATACACTCCTGGTCCCAGAGAACGACTTATCTTCTTCTATAAGCCTTATTATAATCATCCTCTCGTTCCTCTCAGATACACCATCCGACTTTTGGAGCTCTACTAAGATCCAAACTAAAGCTACATGGCAATTGTGAACTTTCTGGCAGAGTTGTAGGCTATCAGACATTCAGTTGCATTTTAACGATGAATTCGTAATGATTTTACCTTATTTATTTCATTTGCCTGACATATTTTCAGATAAAACGCTATTTTTTACGGGCGCAATATCAGAAGTTAAATTATATTCGACGCAGCTAAATGATAACCAACAGTTACCTTTGAAAAAAAGTTGCGATCAAGATGATACCACTTTTAAAGCAAGTTCTATTCATCCTAGTATTTCGATAAAACATTACTTTCCTGCAGCATAGCGTTTGTCAACAAAAGAGGTTTTATAAATAGGAGCAAAAATAAATAAGACATATTTCCTCATGAATAGTGCATAATAATATAATGTTCAGGTTTAGGTTTTTCAAAAAAATGCAAGGCGTTTTCACAATCAGCAGCAAGAATAAACAGATCAAGCTCATATAACTTATCTAGGAGAGTGTTTGACGAAAAAAAGCATTTTCCAATTACATGCTCACCAAAAGAATAAACTTTATATTAGCTCAGTGAAATAAATAACTTTGATAATAGATCTAATTAAGTGCACTTTTTTTATGTCTTAGACATTTGGGGTTATAGGGAGAAACTAGGTAGAATTCAAATGCAGTTCGGGTACAAATTGTGCGATTAAAGCCAAACAGTGTCTTTACAATGTATCAAATTACCCGGCAGAATTAGCAACGTTAGACAGATACTAATTGCTGAATGAAGGTAAACCAAAAACGGGCTTTAGAAGTCTTGACGCCCTCTTGTTACTAGCTGCATAAATGGTTTTCCCGACCAAACTGAGTACTATGGAGTTTTCCCGTAAGTATGTGAATAGCAGATCCAGGTTGAGGCTTCTTAAGGAAGTGGGAGCGTCACAGTTATTCTTTTATCTTCTCATACATATTAAATCATGTACGCATGGCGGCCATGGCCCGAAAATCAAAAAAATAAGGTTCGATAAAGGGTAACCA